ACATGAAGTCATTGAAATCCCATGAAGTCTGCCGAAGTCCCTTAAAATAGCCTTCTGTGACTAAAAAGAGTCAGTACGTTTGTTCTTCTTCGAAAATGAGCAATTAAAAGAAGACTTTTATTCGAAACGCTTCATTTACTGACTGACATTCTTGCGGTTATCTTCACCATTTCTCGAAGTTGGTACAACACTTTGTTATCATTGTGTACGGTATATCTTTATTTAGAATCAGAAAAAAAACAAAGTTTTTATTTCATTCTTTTTTATTTGCGTTCATTACTTGTGATAATCTATCCGCCGATAAACTGCATTGTTTATTCGTCAATAACCAACAAGCGGTCTGTTTATGAATGAATTTTGGAGTGCCATTTATGCTAACTCGAAAATATGAGTTTTTCATTTCTGGATTAACTGAATTCAAAACTCTCATACCATGAAAGTCTGTTGTATTTGTTGTAATTGAATCATGATCGTCCTCAGTGTCCGAGTTGGAACTGTTGTGTTCATCATCGTCCTCGTCATTAATGGTACTGCTGTTGTCATTACTATCATCATCTTCATCTGAATCGGTATCGTCTCTTGAGTGGTCTTTCATTCAGCTTGACGATTTCAAATTATCAGGTACATTCAAACTTATTTCATCGAATTCGTATATTTTATCTTGTTTTAATAATGCGGACAGTTTTAAACGATCAGTAATATTTTGCGATTTTTTATAAGCATTCATGATAATTTTTTCAACGTTTAATTTATCAATATCAATCGTATTATGCTGAAGAAATGAATAATCTTTTCTGTGTTTATGATGCGTAGGAAATTGCAGATGATTTTCATTGTTGTTACTATTCGATTGTTCATAACATTTAATTTTTTGCAACAAAAATAGTTTTTCAGCTCGTCTCATAAAATCATTGACTGTGAAATTTACTGTTGTGAAATAAGGCCCGCTTAGCTTTTAGCTTTTATTTATTTATTCTCGGTGGCAAAGAGAAAGGGCATAGACAAAAGCTGGAGGCTTATAGAAGTCTATCCCATGGCACACAAATACACAAAAAAATAAAAATAAAAATTACAAATTACAAATTAGCTTAATGCATGTGAATTTCTGAAAATACATTCACAAGATTGTGAATTGAATAAATGCGTGTTTAAGACCTTTCGTACCAGGAATAAAATCCCCTACTGCTAAGATATCTAAATACCTG